CTGCGCGTCAGTACTTATGCAAAAAGCAAAATAAGCATACCAGAAAAGCAGCTACGTTTGTGACGGACGAAAGCGTAATGGAAGGACCGACTTCCAGGTATATATTACAGAATCGAGAAGAAGCAACTGCTTGTGAATAGAACCAACTGTGCATCAAAAGAAAAGCGTCATCAACTCCAATACCAAGCACCAAAAAAGGAGTGATCATCCTGAATAAGAAAACATTGCCCAGAAAAAATTCTTTTGCAATTTCATGAAAGAGAATTGTGGGGTTTGTTAAAGTGCGTCGTTCGCTAGCGGGAAAAATGTGAAGTGTCCTTACACAATCTTGACGCCTTAGCAGCGTTAGAATTCAGTGTTCATGAATTTCCCGCCAATTACCTTTTTTATTAAAATCGTACGGGCGACTGGTGTCGCGGTTTTGGAGGTTAGTATTGTCATTATGAAAGAATACACATGCCGAAGCTAGCGACATTGTCCCTCTCCAAACAACGAGCTACATGTCTCTAGTCAGTGCACACTGCTTGCGCTGTAAAAGCGAATTATCCTTTTAAAGTTATCCGAGTAGCTGTTTTCATCCTCATTGGTACCATCTCCGGTATCTGACAATCATCCACTTTAGGCATACTTTTATCGCTGATGGCAGCCGAATGCTACTTAGCAGTATGGTATGATGTACTTGTCTTGGTACTGCATCGTCATCAAATATAAATGGAAAGTTGGGCACTGCAAATCAGTTCCAAGAGCTAATTTTCAGTCATGATAACGATAATCGGAATGAACTGACATTGTACTGTTGATAGGAATCTCGAATAAGGAAAATATGCCAAATGTTGACAGTGTGGCCAGTGCTGGGCAGAATAGTGTTAAAAATGTCAAAAATATGTTCACTTCGCACCTCTGAAATCAAAGATCTGCCAGGATCATAAGAAATTTTAATAACTTTTCAGCAGAGTCAAAATTTAGACTGCAACGCATTCAGAAACTACGAACGAGCTGGGAAAATGAACACAGACAACTTTAAAATGCAATAGCAAATCTTGATACTGAGTGTAAATTTCGAAATGTTTTTTTCTGCAGTTTTGCATGTACGATTTATGCAGAAATGCATCATGGGGTATCAGACATGCTTGTGCGTTTATCTCCTTGTGCACGTGTATAGGTCTTTGTGCAAACTCAGAAACCAAGAAGCTAAAAATAAAAATGTCATTCCAAATCATATACGGAGTTACAAGTTCCTATCAAGTATTAGCTCCCCTCTGCACTGTCCTAGCTTGTTCTCTGCATTCTCCAAGTTGAATTCTATCTATTTTGACAGATTGGAGGCGAACAAGGCGATAAGTCTAGAGTGCAAAAGGAGAGAGCGGTCAAATGATCCGCAAGATC